GTGTGGCGGGGTGTGGCTGGATGTGGCGGGGTGCGGCGGGGCGCGGCGGGGCGCGGCGCGAGCAACTAGCCTGGTCGCGTTATCTCCGCACCCGCCCGCATCCCGCAGGTGAGTGTGTGCGTGCGCATTGTGTGCCGGAGGACGCCTGCAGAGATAGGCAAGCCCGCAGGGCGGGCGTGTCGCTGCGTTGCCTACCCTCCCGGCGCCGTCGCCTCTCCAGTAGCTCTGGCTGTGCCGCCACCGCGGGCCGCCGCCGCCGGCCTTTGCCTTTCCCGTTCGCTCGGCCGGCCTCGACCGACACTTTGGTCTCTGACCGAGGAGAGGACCCTCTCCCCTAAGGGGTCGGTCAGGCTGTGAAGTGGTCACCGACGGTGGCCCCGTGGCAAGCGCGTGCGCGATTGGCTCTGGCGGGCTGCTGGACCTCATCCTGGACCTCCTGGACCTCCTGGAGCCCGAGCTGGGTTCGGCCTGCGGCGTCTAGTGAAATAATAAAATGTACCTCCGCCCAGCGTCCCTGCTGCCCCGGCGCCCCACCACCCTCTGGTGTGACTGACGGTCTAAAGGGGTTGGAGGGGGAGGGGGAAGTTAGCGGAGTGCGCACACAAGATTTGACTCTGTGTACGCGTAAAAGGGAGTGTGTGTGTGTGTGTGTGTGTGTGTCTGTGTGTCTGTGTGTCTGTGTGTCTGTGTGTCTGTGAGAGAGAGAGCGAGGGAGAGAGAGAGAGAGAGAGAGAGAGAGTGAGTTCTATCTCTCACATTGAGAGGCAGCTGGCGCGACAAGCCACGTCCGCGGCGCGCCATCGTCACACGCTTTCACACCGGCACCTTTCCTTTCTCTCTCGCCCTCTCCCCTTTCTCCTGCTCCTCTCCCCTTCCTGTGTCTCCCCTCTCTCTCGCACACCCGCCCCTTTTTGTCGCTCCGCTCTGTCTCTCTCGCTGCCATTGCTTGGCCCCCCTCACAGCACTACACCACCACCAATACGCACTGACGTGTACAACTCTTAACCGGTCAAAGCGGTGAGGTGACACATTCAGGTGACACACAGGGAGACAACTTAAGGTGAAATCAGATAAGGAAAGAAAATTCGGTTAGCTATACTTTGAGCAAACTCTGAAATCATATGTTCACGAGTATGTTTTCCGTTGTCTTTCTTCGTCCCCGGACACACACAAGCCTTGATCCCCCCCCCCCCCCCTCCCCCTTTCCCGCACCGTACCCTGGGGAGGAGCCCCTCTCCATCTCCCTACGGTGATAATTATGCAGTTTTATGGCGCTCCTTGCGAGGCTCATCCCCGGTGAGCCCCTCGCCGCACCGCCTTTCTGGACGCTGCGCTGCGGTGCGCTGCGGGGCTCGGCGTCGTAAAATGTCATCTTGAATTCACACTGGTGGGATTAGGTCAACGCCGCCGTAATGAAAACACTCCACAATGTTGCCACGGCGCGGCCGGACAGACCTCGCAGCTTTATGAATGTCGTTCCACCTTTTTTTTTTCGCAGTCGTTTTCTTTTCCTCTGCTGCAGATCATAAAGGGACATGAGGCTGGCGAAAAAAAGAAAAACAACCGTCAAACCTGTGTGAAAGCGAAATAAGAGAGTCTCTAATGCACTGGCAGCAGTGCTCGCCGTATGGGGGAGAGCATTGTTGAAACGCACTGTGCGAGAACTAATTTGAAAGTCGCGAATCGCGCCTTGAAAATAAAGAAAAGTCGGGAAAAGGTTAGAAGAAGAATGGAGTGTGTGTGTGGTGGCGTAGGTGCGTGGCAGGGTGGCGAGAGGGGCGGGCGGCAAATTGTGAATGCGGGTCGGAAATGGGTACTCAGGCCTCTTTATATTCACGCCCCCTCTGCTCGACCTCCTCTCCCTCCTCTTCTTCCTCTCCTTCTAAACTCAACAGCGCGCCGCGCGCACGGGCGAGGCGAGGAGAGCCTTGCATGTCATCGTAATGTAAGCCACAGCTGGGAGAGGGCTGCCCTAACCGGAGACCTAACCAGGGCCAGATGTTGAGCCACCTTGAGCGCCCTCTCTCCTTCCCTCTTACTCTCACATACGCGCGCACGCCCCAACACACACACACACACAGGGATGCCCACCCTCACACGCACACAGGGACCTCCCGACTACCACTACAGAGTCCGTAACCGACGCACTTCCAAAGGCATATCATCACCATACACATTGCGCCCGCAAGTTGGCATCAAGGGGGAAGTCTAGGAACTCTTTAATTCCACGCCGAATTCCAAATGAGACGCCCCTGCTCTCATTCGCGCCGGGCCCGCCTTTCCACACACCGCGTGCGCGTCTTATTAAATAATAACACATTATTTCGCGAGAAAATTTCCGCCCATTTTTTATATAAAGGAAAAGGAACTGCCAATAGATTGACATTCGTATTGACATTTTTCCTGGCATTGTTTGTATTTTAACTTCTAAGAAAGCTGTCTTGTTTTTTTGTTTTTTGGTATTTTGCATTCACCCTAGGTTGGTAATCTGTTCGCAGCTCGCGGCTATGTTTCTATTCCACGGGCGACCTTATGCAATCTGGTCGGAAATTCGGGCCGAATTCTGTCCCCGAGGTGGTGGAGGCTCTGCCAGTAACCGTGTCTTTTGAGGTGTTTTGATTTGGAAGTCAAAGGGGTGAAAGATAAAGAGGGTCGCACCCAATCTGTGCGCCGTGGCCGTGCGGGCTGGCGGGGCGGGGTGGGCGAGGCAGGGCGTGGCGCGGCGTGGCGGCGGCAATGCCGCTCATTTACATGCTACCGCGGCGACATGGGGTCCAGAATACTGCAAAAGGGGGAGGGTGGGCTGGAGGAGAAGGAGATGAGGAAGCAGACGAAAAGTGAGCGATTCACGTCCGCAGGGCCGACGCGGCGCGCCCCGGCGCGACTGCGTGCTGGGGGCCTTGATTCCCCCGTCCGAGGTCGACTTATTGAAAAGGAAGAAGATGTGATGGAAAGTTTGCTGGAGCCTCCCAGAGCCTGTAGCCCGCACTCAGTGGCAACTATGAGCCATTTTTTAAAAAGTGTGTATTTCCCTGCTTCCTTTCCCCGTTGCTGTTTCTGTTTCTGCGGATTGCCGTTAAGTGTAGGGGAAGCGGGGGTTAAAACTCAACGAGAGTTTAACCTTCAAAAAACCCCGAATAAGTGTCGTCCACATGCCGTCCAAAACAGCACCCCCTTTTCCAGCAGTTCCTTTTTGCCAGGCCGGTCCTCTCATCAGCTGGCCATACAGTGCTACTCGGGGACCCTCCGCCCCTCCCCGTCCACCCCCCGCCCCTCGGTCGGCTCCGAGGACCGCGTAACGAAGGGCTTCACACATCAGAGGCCCGGGCCTGAGGTTGCAGGAGGGGAGGCTGGGCCGGGCGTGGCCGGGCGTGGCCCTGGCTGGTGGGGCCGACGCTGCTGGACGGATTTTACTGCGTTTTAACACCCCTGCGTTAGCCGCGTAGTGTAGCGTGGCGCGGCGTGGCGCTGCGTGGCGGGGGTGCCGCCCTTTATTGCTTGTTTTAAAAGCAACACTACATTTACCGCAGCCTCTCGACGCGGCCGGCGGCCGGGCTGCGGTGGCGGCGGAGCGTGGCGCCAAAGCAGTGTGGTGTGTACCGAGGAAAAAAAAATTACAAGGTGCATCAACCACAAGCTTTTTAATTTACCTATGTGAATTTTGTGATTTTGTGAAACAGTTCAAAGTATCGAGAGGTTTTTTTACGTGGGTGTGCGAACTGTCTGCGCAGTCACACAATTTCCTACGATTCGGTGGGTACCACAACGATCCCAACCCCACACTGTGAATGCAAGTGTGTGAATGTCGCTCACCTGCAGGTGAGCGACATTCCATTCGTACACTTAAGGGGGTAAACGTGTGAATTTTCTAAGAAGAATTCACACGTTTACCCCCCTAAGTGTACGAATGGAATGTCGCTCACTTGCAGGTGAGCGACATTCACACACTTGCATTTCCAGTGCAACCGTTATGCACCACTGAAACGTTGCCTTCTCAATGTTTTCCTCGATTTCGTCGTCGGCTCGCCTAGAGTAGTCCGAACGATGTTGTGGGAGACATAGAGACGTCCCAGCCCTACGCGGGCGAGTGGTGCGGCTGTGATGTGATGGGGTGGCCTGCCGCCCCCCCTCTGCGCCCTCGCTGAGGATGTCCTCCTCGACGGAACGGAACGGCGCTGCCGGGCCTATTCCGGGCTTAGCGACACCCATCGAGTCACACATCGAGTGAATTAGCCCATCGCGGAGCGACCGGGGCGGCGGGGCCTTCGGGGCGAAGAGAACAAGGCCGAGGCTTTATGGCCCACAGTGTGTCCTGTCTCAAACGGCGCCGGAGGAAAAAAGGAGGGCCCCCTTGGGGTGGAGTGTGACGCCCCCCGACCCCTGGGAGGGGGAAGAGGGGGTCGGGCCTTACCCCGCGGGGTGTGTGCCCCTATTACAATGCTATAAATCGTCACCAAACACTCCGTTACACTCGCCGCTCAGCGCGGGCCCCGTGTCTCCCTCACGTACGCTCCCCTCCTGGAGCAGCGGCGCGCTGGAGGAGCGGCGGCCCCGGCCCGGTGGAGAAGAAGGCGCGCCCCGGAGGAGGAAAGGCGCGCAGCCGCCAGCCTATTGCTTGCCAGAGGGCCGCCGCCCTGGCCTGGCCCTTCGTTTATTGACGCCTTATCTGAGATTACTCTATCCGACCACTTTCCGCCCCCCATCCCCCTTTCCCCTCCCTCCCCTTCAGACCCACCCACACTCGATCCTCCGGGGCGAGCATCCCCTAAATGAAACCACGTTATGACAAGGACGTAAGTGTGTGTGTGTGTTCTGGACGCGCTTACTCGATGTTTTCCCCTTTTGCAACCTCAGCAGCCCCCATCGCCTTAGGAAAAGGGAAAGCAAACGTGTCCGCTGCTGGACATGCCGGACACGTGTCCTGATACTAAGTGACTTATTGCTGCCCACTAGTTTTGATTTCGCGCACAGGTTTGTGGACAAAACCGTTATTCACTCACCGATGCCGGCCGATATGGAAGTCGATGTCCGAAGGTTGTGCACTTTGGAGGACTCAGCAAACGACGCCTGGAATGGGAAAACGGACTGATGAGTGAAGGTTAATTTGGTAAATGTGAGGTTTTGTCAAATTGCGGCAAGGCTACGTCGATGCGAGCAAATTTGACAGTTGCAATGCACTTACGCCTCACTAAAGCACGATTTTCCCTCTCAAGCTTGACCTCTAACTGCAGACGGCGCGACTAACGCGTTTAAGTGCAGTGGTCTTCCGGGTTCAGTAACAATAAATTATCCCTTCTCTCAACACAATGGCGTCTTCGTTGACCCCACGAAAGCAAAAAATAGAGACGATAGAAAGGAAGAAGGGGGGAAAGGGTGTGTAAAAAAAGGATAGAAAAGTCCATGTAGAGAGATGTAGCGGGAGAGCGAGAGAGGAAAGGGGACATGCAGGAGGTTGAGTCGCTTCGTCTCTGAGGAAAAAGAGGGGGGGGGGGGCGTTGTCCAATTGTGATACGCCCCATAGACTGCATTACCGTATTGCTTGTGTCGGGATGGGTGTGTGCGCGTGTGTTGGAGAGAGAGAAAGAGGGTGGGGGTATGGGGGTTGTGGCAGTGGGAAGGAGGGCGCATGTGTGTGCGCGTGTGTGTGTGCGGTCACACTCTGCACACAGACTGATGTGTGGTCAAACTTTCGCATGCAGTGGGCCGTGGGGGTCGGAGAGAGGCGCCCCACCAGCCGGACCATATGACCACCCCTCCCCCTTTCCCCTGTCTCCCTGAGCGGATCCCGCCTCCAAACACACCCTACCCCTATTTCGCTTACTCCTTTCTCTTATGTTTCTTGCTCTGAATATTGCTCGTTCAGATACGCTACTGCACTTGTAGCGTGATTTTCGCTTATTTCTTGCAAGTATTTTCTTTTTCGTAAAAGGGGGAACTGTAGTCTGGCGGATGGTCCAAAAGAGCTGCCATGAAGTTGCTGATCCGGATCCCGAGGTTGGCCTGGTTTGCCCCCGGTTGCCAGTGCGGTGCCATCGCCCCCCCCC